TGACTCCATTGTATGCTCTTGCCTCCTTTGTCAAATATTAATTGAGCATAGTGGTTTGGGTCGATTTATGGGTTCTCTATTCTATTCCATTGGTCTATATGTCTGTTCTTGTGCCAGTATCAGGTAGTTTTGAGAACAGTGGCTTTGTAATACAGCTTGATATCTGGTATTGAGATCCCTCCTACTTTGTTCTTCTTTCTCAGGATTGCTGCAGCTATTCAGGGTCTTTTTTTATTCTGGATGAATTTTTGGAGAGTTCATTCTAGGTCTGTGAAATATGCCATTGGCATTTTAATGGGGATTGCATTGAATCTATAGATTACTTTGGGTGGTATGGACATTTTAATGATGTTGATTCTACCAATTCATGAACACGGCATGTTCTTACATCTGTTTATGTCTTCCTCAATCTCTTTTTTTAGTGTCCTGTAGGTTTCCAAGTACAGGCCTTTTACCTCCTTAGTTAAGGTGCGATGGTAAATGGGATTGTTTTTTTAATCTCTCTTTCTGTAAATTCACTAGAAACTGCCTTTTGACCCAGTGATCCCATTTCTAGGAATATATCCTAAAAACCCTGAAACAGCAATCAGAAAGAATATATGTACCCCTATGTTCACAACAGCATCATTTACAATAGCTGAGATCTAGAAACAGCCCAAGTGGCCATCAGTAGATGAGTGGATAAAAAATCAGTGGTACATTTACACCATAGAATACTATGCTGCTATAAAAAATAAGGATCTCTTACACTTTGAAACATCATGGAGGGACCTGGAGACTATTGTGCTAAGCAAAATAGGCCAGTCAGAGAAAGGCAAATATCACATGATCTCACTCATATGTGGAATGGAATGAACAAAATAAACTGATGAACAAAACAGATCGAAGGTCATGGAAGCATGGAACAGACTAACAAATCTCAGAGGGAATGGGGGAGGGGGAGCAGGAAGAGATCAACCAAAGAACTTATATGCATATATTCATAACTCATAGACACAGACAGTAGACAATAGTGCAGTGAAGGCCTGGGGTGAAGTGGGAGCAGGGTGTAATACTCTCAACAATAAAAATAAATTTAAAAAAAAGATACAGAAAAATTACATACAGGTTTGGATGTTCTTATGTCAACATTTACTTGGTGTAATAATGCAGGATTCTGTAGAAGCCTACCCAGGACCACCTGCAGACCAGCCCCTTGCTCCATACCAGCAGGGGCCCACTGTGCTCCACCAGCTCCTCCATTCACAGGGGTGGGGGGTGTCTTTTCTCAGAATCTCAAACCTACCTGCTTTAGGGAGTGGTTCCTGACCTTACCTAAATTGTTATTATATGACTGCTTTTATTTTGGATTTTTTAAATTGGCTCAAAAAAAAATTTAAAATTAACATGGGAAATGGTGCCCCTGAGGCCAACAAGCACACTACAGTCAGACTCACATTAATGCTCCTGCAAGTTTTATGTAATATGTACAAAGCCTCAACTAGTGACTATCTATAGAAATAGGGAGCTTTAACTAAAACTGATAGGTGCTTAGGATGGCAGAAAGAGGGCTCTTTTGATACCTCTAAATTATTTTTTTGCACACTCAATTGGAAAATATAGACTCCAACTTGCATTGAATTAATGGAATGCTGACCTTGTTTGGAAAATAGAAACCTCTAAAAAGGAGCATGAATGAACTTTCTTCTCTTCAAGAAATTAATAAAAACATTTCAGAGATTGTCTCTATAAGGCTCCTATCAACATTTTTGCTTGTGAAAATATGCAATCCATTTTTCCAATATGAGAAAAAAAAAATCTTTTTCCAGAATTGGAGCAAATTTCCAGTTTTTAACCCCATTCTTTTCTGCTGCTGTATGATTTTTGGAGCTTCTGATTCAAGCAGCTGCCTACATCTTTGAGCACTAATGCTTACTACACACTTTCTGTTTTCCAAAGAAATTGGAAAAACAGACATCTGCTACTCAACAAGTGAGGCTACGGCTGAAGCTTGCTACATGTTGCTGACAGCCCCAGTGGATGCCTGGGACCTAAGTCCCGAGAGAGGGAGATTCCCTCACTGGCTTCTGACAGGAGCAATTGGATGCTTATGGCCTTAGGACTAGATTATAAAAATGCTTGACTGATGAGTCAAACTACCCATGGAAAGGAAATAATTCTATTTCTGTTCCATAGAGTATACTTTAACTCAAATTCCATCCTGCAAAATTCTTTGGATTCAGAAACTAAAGGTCCCAGGTTCATTTTTCTATTGTGTGAAGAGCACAAGATCAGAGTTCAGAGGCTTCATTCAGATCCAAACCTGTGAGGAATCTGCTGCATGGTTTCCATACATCAGCTGTCTTCTCCACATTTCACTTTCCTTCACCAGAAATGGATTGTTAACTGGCTTATCAATGTGGCTGCATGTTTTGTGTGCACAGACTCTTTGTGCTCAATTCTCCCCTTGCTGGCTCTTGACCTCCCAGAAATCGGATCTTCCAGAGGGAGATTATGTTTGGGAATGGAAAAGAGACAGAAACAGAGAGAAAAAGTGGGCAGATTCTCTAAATTGGGTAGGGCAGGATACCTGCAGGTCTTGCAACAGCAGGCCCAAGGCTCCAACAGAAGCACCTTGATGGTGCACTTAGGAGATGGGACTGCCAATGTTAGGGACCTGGATGAGGACTCCTGAGCTCACACATGGTGCAGAAGCAACAGAACCACAGTCCTTCAAGGGGCATGCAGAAGGAGCCAGGAACATTTCAGCAGCAGCTACCCAGGTCAAAGGCTGGAGAAAACTCCCCAACAGTTTTGCTTACATGAGACCCTGGGAATCTGAACCTTCCCTTGACGGGGAACACTAGGAATGACTGAGAAAGAATTCCCAACCACATACTGGAATACAGAGCACAGTAAAATCAAATATGACGGGGAAAGGAACTAATTTAAAGGAAACAATAGAGAGGGTCATTTTGTAAAGTGGGGTTGTTTGTGGGTAGCAGTCATACCTGCTGCGTGTAACTGGTGTATCAACACATGGATCTCAAGGGCCTATTGGGAGATGACTTCAATAGAAGTGAGATTAAATATGTAAAATGTTGTGCAAATATCTTCACTATTTGATGTGAAGCCAGCTTGACAGATGCAGGTTTGAATCATCTGTTACTATCGTGTGGAGGACATTAACCCGCCCAAGGACAGGACCTTTCACATTTTCCTCCTGGATGTTTTTAAGATGAAACACACTTTTAAATAGAGTAGGAAGGGTTGAGGTTGCTTAACATTTTGAGATTAAATTGTCTCTACTCAAGGGGGGAAAAAAGCCAAACAAAAATCAAACAAAGTACTAAGGCTTTAATTCAAAGGAGCACAAGCGTTCTGTTATGCATTACAGGATGATGCTCTCAGGAAGGAAATTGGCTTCAACCTGAAGAGCATCAGGGCCTAACTTACAAGAGCAGATAGAGCTCAGCTTACAGCCAAGCCTCTCCACATAAAATAAGGCCAACCACTGCTCGCAGGAAATACGAAATCAGATCCCAAACGTTTGAAATGTTTTTATTTGGACAGGGAGGGGGGTTAAGGGAATGGTTAGATGGTGTGTGTGTGTGTGTGTGCATGCGCGCGAGCGTGTGCGCGCACACACACACACACACACACACACACACACACACTTTAGTTTTAAAAATATATAGATCATCAGGGACTGTTTAGACTTAGAACACTCCCGCAATCTAGTGCCATGGGCTCTTACCCAGGGGCTGGGGGCTGGAATGGCCATGTGAAACATGCAGCAGCCCCTCCCCCCCCCCATGCACACCCCCACACAGACCTCCCACATGCAGGACTTTAATGATCTGGGGCAGATTCCTTTACTACTCTGTCTCAAAAATGTACACGATGTCTTACAGATGATAGATTTACAGCAGTTAAAATCAGTGATTGTACCTGGCAAGGAGCCAGATAAGCCACATTTGCCACAAATGATCTACATGTGGCTCACCTTTCTTACCCTTCAAAGAACATACCCTTAACAATGCCTTCCCAGAAAGTATAGAAGAGTAAAGCCATGCGGCTCCCAACATCCTAGCAGGGAGCGCACTGACAGCGGAACAGCAAACCTCCCTCTCAGAACTCACTTCCACATGTTCTGATAGAGAATTTTGCTCTCTAACTGCCAGTTTATAAACCCCTTTCCCGGGTGAGCATACAATTGGCCTTAAAATGAGAAAGCAGAGGCTCTCACTCAGAACATGAGAACTCAGATGTGTCAATTCATTTAGTCCATTTTCTACTTGACAGGGAGCTCTTTCTCTCATTAAATAGGAACAAGTCACAACATTTGGAAAGTGGAAAATCACAAGGGGCAAATTATGGGATTATCTTCAGAAAAGAAGGATGGCTAATGTCCTTCTGGAGCAGCAGTTCTCAACCTGTGGATTGCGACCCCTTTGGGGGTCGAACGACCCTTTCACAGGGGTCGCCTAAGACCATCGGAAAACACATATATAATTACATATTGTTTTTGTGATTAATCACTATGCTTTAATTATGTTCAATTTGTGACAATGAAAATACATCCTGCATATCAGATATTTACATTACGATTCATAACAGTAGCAAAATTACAGTTATGAAGTACCAGCGAAAATAATTTTATGGTTGGGGGTCACCACAACATGAGGAACTGTATTAAAGGGTCGTGGCATTAGGAAGGTTGAGAACCACTGTTATGGAGGATCGTCAATTCAGCCACCAAAGATAGGGACGGGAGGGGCTCCTCAGCCTTTAATCAGAATGCTTCCAGATCAACAGTCACAGGACGTGCCTGGCTTGGGGGCTGGGAGAGAGCAGGGCAAGACCTCTTTGTGCATGTTGGTCACATTATGAGACTTAGAATTCTAGCTCACTTTCCAACTCCCTTTCAACTTCTGTCTCCCTTACCTGGGGGTACAGAGTTGGGGTGTTAAGCATGATGACATATAAGAAAAACATAAATTATGTAAACTGAGGAAACTTAGCCTGGCTTTTGCCTGTTCCTCTGAATGAAATCAGACTCAGAAGGTTCCAGTTAGTTTTGTTGCATAACAAAATGCTAAAATTTTGTGCATTTCATCAATCGTTTGCTTAGCAATTTGGGCTGGACTAAGCTGGCCAGACTAACCTGGGCCGGGCTCATTTGTATACTTGAAATCTGAGGGGTCAGTTTAGGCTGGCAGTGGGCAAGTGAGCCTGCACTTTTTCCCACAGGGGTCCTAGGTAGGCCCCAAGGAAGTGTGAAAACCTCTTCAAGACCAGCCGTGAAAGGTTTCCCAAAAAATTAAAAATAGAACTACCATATGATCCAGCAATTCCACTTCTGGGTATATATATCTGAAAAAATAAAAAACACTAATTAGAAAAGACATATGCACTCCCATGCTTATTGCAGAGCTGTTTATAATAGTCAAGATATAGAGGCAACCTCAGTGAGGAAAATGGGGGACATCTGCAATAGTGTCAATAATTTTTTTTTTAAAAAAAATATGAAAGAAACCTAGGTATCCATGGATAGATGATTGGATAAAAATGATGTGATACATATATACAAATGGGATATTACTTGGCCATAAAAGAATGAAACCTTACCATTTGCAACAATGTGGATGACCTAGACTCAGAGTATTTTGCTAAGTGAAATAAGTCAGTTAGAGAAAGACAAATACTATAAAATTTCAAGTATATGTGGAGTCTAAAGAATAGCACCAACAAAACAGAAACAGAGAACAAATTGACAGTTTCAAAATAAGAGGTTGGATGCAAAATAATCAATCAATAAAAATTAAAAATAAACCCTCTGGCTTGCAGAGTTGCTAAAACAGTTAGAAAGCAAAGTCCCATCCCTTCCTGTTCATTTAACAAATACTTCATATGCTCCTTCAATAATCACACTGGGGATGGGTGTTTGTTTGTTTGTTTGTTTGTTTGTTTTGGTTAATCCTCACCTGAGGACATTTTTGCATTGATTTTTTTTTACAGAGAGTGGAAGGGAGGGAGAAAGAAAGAAACTAATGTGAGAGACATCAATTGGTTGCCTCTCGCTGAATCCCCAACCAGAGCCCGGGATTGAGCCTGCAACCCAGGTACATGCCCTTGATCGGAATCCAACCCGGTACCCTTCAGTCCACCTGCAGAAGCACTATCCACTCAACCAAACCAGTATTTTTTTTCTTTTTAAATCCTCCTCTAAGGATATGTTATTTTCATTGATTCTAGGGAGACAGGAAAGGAGAGGGAAAGAGAAAGAGAAACATCGATCAGTTGCCCAAGCAATCCAACAGGGATGGAACCCACCACCTATGTATGTGCCCTCACCTAGAATCGAACCCATGACCCTTTGGTGCATGGGAGGACACTCTAACTACTGATCCACACCGACCAGGGCCTGGAGGTACATTTAAAAAATTTTTTTCAGATCTGCCCTGGCCAGGTGGCTCAATTGGTCTGAGTCTCAACCTGTACACCAAAGGATTTCCTGTTGGATTCTAGGTTAGGGCACATACTTAGGTTTAGGTTAGATCCTGGTGGGTCAGCAGGTACAGAGGCAGCCTACTGGTATTTCTCTGTCACATGGATGTTTCTCTCTCTAAAAATCAATTTTAAAAACATCCTCAGGTGAGAAATAAAATTTATATATATATTAAAAAATTTTCAGCTCTAAAATTTTATTTGGTTCTTTTAAAAATTTTATTTTGCATTTATAGTTCACATTCAATATCCTATCCTATCTAATAAAAGAGAAACATGGTAATTAACCGTAACTTCGCTACCCTTCCCATTGGCCAATCAGGACGATATGCAAATTAACTGCCAACCAAGATGGTGGCCGGCTGCCAGGCAGCTGAAGCAAACAGGAGGCTTGCCTGCTCCAGTGACGGAGGAAGCCAAGGTTCCCCGCCTGCC